CATTGTAATCATCTTCATTTATTATCATAAATTGACCATGTAATCAATGTAACTAAATACAAAATATCTTAAATATTACTAAAGGAATTTATATTTTTTTTTTATTATTTTATAATAAATCGCACATAGTAATTCCTATATTAGAAAAATTAGATATTGCAGTATATTATACAACATGCAATATTCTTAGTGATGTGCTCTGAAATGCTTCTAATCACTTCGAACATGTATATGTTGAAGTGAAGAATTCAAGTCATGATGACAAATGTGTTTTTATATTTAAAGTTCTTAAAAATCATGATACATCGTATATTTTAAAATTTGAAATGTATCAAATCTTTAAAGTTTCAAAATTTTCAAAATTTATTGAGACTTCAATGATTTGATGCTTATGAAAATTTAAAATTTAATATTTATTATGATTTTTAAGGATTTTAGATATCATATCATGTAGTTTAAGTGATTCGAATTTTCAAGATTATTAATGACTTTCGGATTGCTCTGAAATTGAAAATCGCGTCAAATGCTCATCAATAAATACTTTACCAGGCCATTGTGAAATCGATATAAAGTTAATTTTATATAATATGCATACATCTTTCTTGCAGAAAAGTATCTAGATTCTAAGAATAAAGGGCAAGCTGAATCAACGTATGTATAAATCGCATCATTGGGCCTTCCCTGATAGTGTGCTGTAAATCTGGTACATAATTTATTTTCATGATTTCAAATCTTTTTTCTTTGATACGATAATCAGTTTATTACGTTCGAAAGTTATTACAACAATTCAAAATTATATTGTAAATTTTTCCTATTACATTTAGATGATTAAATTTTTTTTACTACATTTAAGAGAGAGATGATAATGATTTAAATACTGTAGTTATTAATTATTTTTTTACAGATATTTTTCCTCAATCTTGTATTAAAACTAATCTGTATAATATTTTTAATAATACTTTTACTTTGTGATTTAAATCACTGGTGAGATAGAAAAATGTTTGAATAAATGTTGAACATTAAAATTGATTATCGAATGTATTCTTTTTATTTATATTGATTTTTGTAAGTCATAATTCTTATATTTTTCAATCATTCTGCTTAATTTTATTTCCAGAAGGACTCCACTCTTAACTATTCATTTTCATTTTAATTCTATCATTGATTTTTTATTTGTCATAATATTTATGCTTTAACAATTATTGAAATATATGTGCTTTTAATATTATAATCTGGGCATTATTATAAAACTGATGAAGCTTGCCTATTAAGGAGAGTTGTTCTGCAATATATTGCATAGCCACTATATGTATAATTGTGTCTTGTCACTTTTGCATGATAAATAATTGCATGTAAGGTATCTAGTACTAACACTTAGTATATTCGTAGTTGTTACAACACAATGTGTTATTTCTTTTTTAAATTATTGCATCAAAATTTTATTATAAATTTTGTATTAATTGAAACATAAAAAGAGTAAGACAAATTTTATGTTTTATTTTCCAATACAGAAGTACATAATAAAGAAGTATTAAAATAAATATCTAAAAATAATGTAGAACAATATAAACGTTTGTGAAATATTTTGATGTTTGATATTCAATCGAATTTATGGCTGGCCTTATATTTCCTTCTGCAACAGTATATTTAATGCATTACTTTATTTATATAATATTTCTCATGAAAACATATCTTCAAACATGTTAAAATAATATTAAAAATATATTTTCTATCTTGAAGGAGAAAGGGATTATTTGTTATTAACCACTTCTACAAATATATTTTGTTCTAGGTGCAAATACTTCAGATTCAATGTATATATGTAATGATGAAGTTGAAAATGAGACACAAGATGATGTGCACAAACCATGATGATCAATATTTTAGATATTTTTAGATTTATTGACTCTAAGCAAATTATGTAACGTAATATTCAAGGGCAGCTGCTACAGCAACGAATATTTATTAAGTAGAAAAGAGCATTTATTTAATTCAGAATGTCTCGATTTGCGCAATGACAAAATATGTTTTGAATATATATATAACAAATAATTTTAGAAATCAAAAAATTTTACAAATTATTATTAGCTTGTACTTATAGTCAGCAAGGTAATTATGTTAATAATGTACAAAAATACTAAGCTTGGCGAGGACTATATTTAACTAGATTAAGAGCTATTTAACATTTATATGTATTATAGTAATTTTACATATAATATTTTTATAGTAAGTTTCTTCTAACAAAAAATGCGTTATTCTTGTGTAGTATGCAAAATAAATATTTGTCGGGTACGTCCTGTAAAAAAATTGATATTTGGTTATTAAATATCTTTGTATTTGGAAAAATTTATAACTCTATTCTTGCTATGTAAGTGTTAATAATTTCACGTGCCTTATGGATTCCTATGAGAAAAGACATGAACAAATTATACATCACAATAATGCATCATCTTCAAATAAATTTGGTTAATATAATTTACTTAGCTCCTAAGTAAAATATTTCCTTTCTTAGATAACAATTACTGTTTTATGTAAGATCTTAATATTTTTATAACTTTTTTTTCTGTTTAATCATATGATACTTTCATGTATGTATATTACCTGTAATACTTTATTTTTATTTTTTATTGTAATGATTATTATAAGAATATAAAATATCCGCTTTGTAATACTCTGTACATGAATTTTATTTCCCATTTTATTTAATCATTCAAAAATAATGATTTCAAATTGTTTTTTTAGATGTTACCTGTAACAATACCTTGCTAGATATTTCATTTTTAATCATGCAATGCAACAAAGACTATCTGAAAAGGCAACTGCATTACAATTCTTTAAAACGATCCTATCTTGAAGACAAAACAAAAGGTTGTTGACAATGTTAATATTTGGCAAAGATAAGCCATTCGTCGTAACCTCCTCTTGACAATGTAAAATATGCGCAACTAATGCACGAAACATCATTACCATCGTAATTTAGTCTACGAGCTTGAAGAAGAAATCAAAGGAAAAGAAACTTTTACGTTTTTTATAAACTGTCAAGTGATCGTGAATACGAAGAATTGAAACACAGCACAATGTAAACAAATTTGGCGGGAAACGTAAATTGTGATGGCGCAATGCGCGGCATTTCAATACCTGTTGCATTGTAGTTCGATAGTTATAGATCGATTCAATACGAAACATTGCTGAAGGGCGCCACTATCGGCGTTAGAAAATTTGAAAATAGTACAGTTATTTTCGCGGCTCGTGCACCACGTTCCAATGCATTCGGTGTTTCTCGGAGTGATTTCACGGACAGACGGTGTTTAGAAATTTATGCACTGAATGTTCCGAGACACTAAAAGTTCTAAGTAAAGCTTAAAGGTCGCGGTAGTTCCTGGAAATGTAGCACAGCTTCGGTATTACTGGATAACGAGTATTAGTGTACAGAGTAGGACGCGCGAGAGAAGCTGATTGGCAGATTGCGTTTTATAAGCGGCTGGAGTAGTCTCGGTCAATCAAGATCGGCAATTTTCAAATTTTGCCGGCGAGTGGCAGTTCCAGTGGAAATTGCTTACTGCAACGCTGAAAGGGTCCGGACGATCTCATCGCTTCGCCAATTTCGCAGAAAGTGTCGTGAAATCACTCGTTATAGCTAATGTTGAACGTCATAACGATAAATCATTTCAAAGAATACTATCGAAGAACGTACATTTCTTCGCTTTCGGAGGGAATTCGACGATTCCCGTGCTTTGTTTCAAAGGTATGAAAGCTTACTTTGCTATATTATTTTTTTCTTTTAGAAGTCGATTTTCTTGGTAGATCTAGTGCGCGATACGATTGAATCGTACATCTAGAAAATAAAATGGCGGCTAATTAAATAATGACGGTTATGTTCTACATGTTCCATATTGAATTTTAGGTTAAGCTTATTTCATTATCGTCAAATGTTCGCAATCTTGAATTTCAATGCGATTCAGTACACCCTTAAATATCTTTTTACACGAATAATATCTCTCGAAACTATTTCGTAGCAAAAATATTTCAGTTATTGATGAATTTTCGTTCAACTTCAAAATTTTAAACAATTTGAGAGAAAATGACGTGATTGAGTAGATGGTAGCCAATTTAAAATTCGTAAAACGTAAAATTCGAATGATTTACATTTGAATTTTAAAGATCCGTAAAAGATCGATCGATCGTGCCTCATTTAAACTTTCGCAGTCGTTCGAACATTCTACCGCGATGTCTTCCAAGATTCTAGCTCATTACCTTCTGAGGATAAGATCAAACTCGTACCCCATCAATCGAAAAGTCCTCGAGCAACAACTTCCCTGCAAATTGTCTTTCTTGCTTACGATCGTTAATTTAATTTTACCGACGATCGTTAATTTAATTTTGCTGACTATTTCGTTCAATGACGTAGAATTCACGCGGAAACTGTCCTCTTGTAATTACTCACTTGCGAAAATAACCTAATACATGTTATTTATCGAGTATTATCCGAATAATAACTACATTGCTCACAAAAATTATACGAAGGGATAAAAAAAAGAAGCATTTGATTTTTTTTTTTATGAAACAAGAACATCGGGAAAACAAACGATATTTGCTTTTTTTTTGTCGCTTCATATTCATTTTGAAATATCCCCCAATTTTTGTGAGCAGTATGTGTTAAGCCTAGTTCAAATTGACAAACAATTGTTCGTAGACAAGATTCATTTATTTATATCTAATTACATGTATTTCAAAATTAATAAATTAATATATGTTATTCATACATGTATTCATTAACATAATATTCTTGTGTAAATCAAAATAATTACATGTCAATTATATTATAATATTATATTATTATATTATAACAATTATAAATTATATATATAATTTATAATTGTTAATATTATGTTAATATTATAATATTATATTATAACAATTATAAATAAATATAAGAATTATAATTGTTAATATTATAATATATTATATTATAACAATTATAAATTATTACAATTATATCATTTTTTATGTATATATGTACTTATACATATATGAATATAATTTATATAAATATTATTCTGTACTTTGTGTTCTTGGTAATTATCTTCAATATCTTCGATATCAAACAATATCTTTCAACGTGGATTGATTGTAAGGCATTGTGTGGCATTGCATAAACATTTTCGTCGTCCCAACTTCTTCCTCTTTCTCTCGCTTTTCGATTCAACGAAATATCTTGCCTTCAACAAACAATCGTGAATCATCTACGTCTCGTACACTCGACAGGCCTATTAAATCACTCGTGGATTCCACATGCCGCGTATATGTCGAATCGCACGCACCTGAAACAATAACTCCTCTCGTAGGAGGCATCAGCAGACAGTTGTTTTCTTTTTTCCCCGACGGTGCATCGGCCTTGTATGTACGATTGCTTTGCCCTTAATTCTAAAATAACACTGGCCGCCGCTCTGCAGGCAGGAAGATGGCTCGGTCGATCTGTTTTTTTTTTTTTTTTTTTTTTTTTTTT